TTCATCATGTGTACAATTTCAGGTTTGGGTGACGCCTAAATTAGAATTCTTTTGTTAGGTTTGACCTTTGGGGGACGCCTAAATTAGAGGGACGCCTAAATTAGAGTACATACGGTAATCAGTGAAAGCAAGTCAGATATATGGCAGGAGAACCACATTCATTAAAACAAAATGGCCGTCAGTCGGCCATTTTGAATCTAATCTAAAAAACAAAATTATTTCCATCAAGGTCCCGTAATGTCCAACGTATATACAAGGTTTGAACAAAATCCATCTGTAAACAGCTGAGAAATGCTTGATTTTGATGATTTTTTTAGCACAAAAATGGCCACCATTCAGTAATTTTTAATAGAATCGTCAAACCAATATATCTGTATATCTATGACATGATGTGTAATGAATATTTAAAATTTGAACATAATCAGTCACAGCAAGTCAGAGATATGGCACTAGAACCACATTTATTAAAACAAAATCTTATCTGAAATCAAAATGATGTGCATCATCAAGTTTGAACAAAATCCATCTGTAAACAGCAGAGAAATGTTTGATTTTGATGATTTTTAGAACAAAAATGATCGCCATTCGGCCATCTTGAATCAGATCGTGAAACAAATTGATGTGCAGATGTATAATATCATGTGTGAAGTTTGATTGTGATTGGTCCAGGCATTTCTAAGATACAAGTCCGGATACACGCATGAATGGAAGCAAGGAGGTCAAAACACAAGTCCCCGTTTTTGGACTGTGTCCGAACGGGGACTAAATATATGTGTTGTTTATGCAAGGTTTGAATAAAACTGGCATACCTTGGAAATGATATATACATGTAGTAGATAATAATCATAGTCCTAAGCAACTATTAAAAATAGCTAGACGCTTCGAGAAATGGCTTTTTATCGATAGCATAGAAGTAAAATCCTTGGAAATGGTTGACGACATGTTCATAATATTGAGTTATCAGAGAATTGCATAGTTAATGTAAATTATTTAATATGCATGGATTTAAACTCATTTGTGGGTTATATGAAAGCACGTACGTACAAAGACTTGAGATACAGCTAAAAATTTACTAATTTAGGTAAATTAGGTAATTATATCCACAGATTTCAATCCCTAAACTAATGATGTCTGTGGATTACACTGTCATTGGCTTTTGAAATATTGGTGAAATAAAATTTGACACAGGCACACATACGGCCATAACCGCTGACAAATGGTTGATAGCATGTTGAAAAGCTGATTTTTTTTTTGCATTTTGGAGACAAAAATGGCCATAGGTTGGTCAAAGGTCAGGAACAAAAACCCAATGATGTGCATATGTACATGTATATCTTTATAACAAATTTGAAGTTGAAATGACATCACATCAACTTAGATGGACAGACACTATGCTTTTAGCCAGCTGCCTGTCTGCCATTTTGGGCACATACTCGACAAATTTTGATAAATGTCTAGTTTTTATTACATAATTTTCAGACAACATCAACTGGAGACCAAAAATCTGAGCCATAATTACTTCATTCATAATAATGTAAAATAAATGTGTTATAGCTATGTGATATGTATAGCTGTTGACAAGATTCTCATATTTACAAAAAACAAGTCATTGTTAATGACAGTCTCCATCCAAAATTTTGTGATCTGACATATCAATTTGATGCTGATGAAGTCATTGAGATTAGATTGAAACCATTAATAGGAGATGGATTTGTGAACAAAGTATGATTTAGTACTTTTACACGAGAATTGGACATTGGGCAGTCATATTGAATCAAATTACAAAAATAATGTTCATGTTGATGTATCTAATGGTATACTGTCTTTGTACAAAATTTAAAAAGAAATGTTTATTGCATTCATGGGAAAGTCGGCATGGGTATCATGAAAAACACAATGGCCACCAGTCAGCCATATTAGTTTGAATCACAGAAAAAATACGACATGCAACTATAACCCAATATGTATGATCATCATACAAACTTTGATCCAAATTGGCCTAGTCATCTCTGAGAAACAGCACCAGACTTGTACAAATTTTGATTTAGCACATTTACATGAAAATTGGGCATTGGCCGGCCATATTGAATCGAATCACAAAAATAATGATGGTGTAGTTGTATCCCTTGGTATACTATCTTTGTACAAAACTTAAAGAGAAACGTTCATTGCATTCAAGAGAAAGTAGCATGGGTACCATGAAAAACAAAATGGCCGCCAGTGCACCTACAACCCAATATGTATGATCATCATATCAAGTTTGATCTAAATCGGCCTGGTCATCTCCGAGAAACTGCTGTGGACACATTTAGGTATCAGAAATTTTACATCCAAAATGACCTCCAGTCGGCCATTTTTTCGCCGATCATAAAGTAACTTGACACGCATATGTAAGACATTATGTATTGTATTCATGTAAAGTTTGAATGAAATCCGTCAATGGGTGTCCGAGATATAGCTCCGGACGTACGTACAAACGGAACAAACCCAAATTAATAGTTCTTGTTTTCGCACTTCGTCCGAACGAGGACTAACAAATAATGCCAACTATAAAATTGTATTATGATACCTTCTCAACTTGGACTTCTTGAACTTCTCTGACTTCTTTTTTAGCTGAGTTTGCAAGGCTCTTTTCTGTAAGACAAGAAAGATGTACATACATGTAATAACATAGTTAAACTTATAAGAATGATAAATGTTATCTAATATTAGTAATTTTACATCATGCCACATAACACAACATGCTTGGCACAGTGCATCACATAAAACGTACATATACTAACAAGCTTCAATCTATATTGAGAAAAAAGGTCTTCTAATTGGGAAATTCCACTATAAAGAAGAACTGATATTTAACCCTTATCTGGTCAAGTTAATGTAAAAGTACATGGAGCTGGCAGGATAAGGATTCAAGTAGTCATAAAATGAGCCTAATAAAAGTAACTAATTTTGAGTTTTGATAATTTCTCAAACTTAATTCTGCTGATGATTAAACTCGTATCTACCCAGCAGCATTAAATACAATAGCTGTTACAGAACAGATGATCTAATCTGTGAGTAACTGCTATCCATACCCAAAGTGGAGATAGACAACACTAGGTTACTCGCCTTTCAACACAACACTATTACTTAAAATTACCACATCACTATGGGAATGATGACAATGATGATGATTAAACTAAAGATAAAACATAAACTAGAGCTCAAATTACAGTAGGCATTGATTAAAATAAATAAGATTAATATTAAATAAAATAAATTAATTAATTATTGCTTTATTTACAATATTTGGGCAGAAAGAAAAAAATAACATTTTGAACTGGCACGCACACTGTGAAATAAATTTGCAACTTGAGTTTTGTGTTTAATAGCTGGTTAAACAAAAATAAGGCAGGATATCTCAAGTTTTATTAAACTTGTGTAGTAACTTTCTGTACAAATATATATATATTTACAATATCGCAAACGACTAAAAATCACTAAAAAAATATTGCTACAGAAATACATGTGGTAAACAAAAATGTTTACAGAAGTATATCAATTATATTATTTAAAACTTGAATTGGGATACAAATGAACTTGGATGTGATTATAGATGGGATGGCTTTGGTTTAGTCTTACAGCTTTATATGTATTTACAATAGGATGCTCTGAACAGAGACAATTGATAAATCTAAAATGACCAGACAGTTTCCTCCAAATACCAAGTAACTAGGATTTTGTATTCTTCTAAGTTCTAGGTGTTGTAAAACATACAGAAGTTTTTAAGAAAAACAACTCTTAGATTTGATATGACGTGAGAACCAGTGTATATGTTTAGTAGCATCCATTGGAATAAACATACATATAAGTGCTATAGTAAGGAAGGGAGTTACAAGGCTAACACATTGATAAGATGCAAAGAGTACATACTGGAGAGGGATTTTGTCTTCTGTCCATCTCGTTCTGGGAAGGGATCACAGTAGTATCAGTAGAGGAATATAACGGGGAGTTGCTTACTTACGTACACACCTCAGCATGAATTTCTATTATACTTGTTAAGAGAATGGCTGTAATTTTTGTTCATAACAACAAATATCTAATTCAGCTTTATTACACTACTGTAAAATACTTTATTTTAGCTGGAATTAATTTTCGCTGAAAACACTTTTTGTATGGAATTTATTTGCACTGATTTTTTACAAGTTGAATGTCAAATATAGGAAAAACGGTATATTCACCGGATTTTATTTTCACTGAATCATCCCTTCAGCAAAAATAGCAAAAATTAGGTGCAAGCGAAAATAAAAGTATTTTACAATAAACAACATTCATATGTTACACAGCCTAACTTTCATATATCACATTGCCTAATTTTCATATATCACACTGCCTAAATTTCATATATCATACTGCCTCATTTTCATATATAACACTGCCAAACTTTTATATACTGTAAAATGACTAATTTTCACTGGGTTTAAATTTCACTGATTTACCATTTCAGGCATATTCAGTGGGTTTTAAATTCACGGTTTCGTCATTTAGATAATGTGTTCTATGCTAAATTTTACATATTCACTGTGTTTTAATTTAGCGCATTTTTCCAGTCAGCGAAATAAGCTAAATTAAAACCCAGTGAATAATTACCCCCTTTACAGTATCACATTGCCTAACTTTCATATATCACACTGCCTAACTTTCATATATCAAACTGCCTAACTTTCATATATCACACTGCCTAACTTACATATATCACACTGCACGGTACGAGGTTTTACCCAGAATTCAACACGTTCTGTACCAACGCATATTGCTATACGCAGAACTGAAAATTCTGGCATCATTCTGCGCAAAAACAGTTTTTAGCTCGTGAGTTGTTTCCGGGTCTGCCTTCCATGTGCTTATCGTGCAATTTATTGTACCAATATCACATTTTCTGGACGTATTCCTACACAATCATGCTAAGAGTATCCAAAAGAGTCAAGCAGGCAAGTTTAGCCGCAAAATCACGTGGGAAATCGGCTTCAACTGCTCAGTCGATCGCCGATGTTGTCGTCAGCACACAAGGTCGTTCGCTTTCTGATCTTTCTTCCGAGATTTTGACTCGAATATTCGGGTTTTGTTGCTTTTTTAATAACAGTGATGATGATAGTTCACAGTTTGAGAAAGTTAAAACGATCTGCTCACTTCGTATGGTTTGTAGGCGATTTTATACTATCGCGTCAAATGATTTGTTCGTTATGGGGGGACGACAAGCTCGACTGCCAGCCGTGCTTTTCACAGATTTAAGCTGATGAAGGCGAGATCGCTCGTTGCTAGTGAACTAGGGCAACTTTTTGATTTGATCATTCAAAAAGGGCCATCTCAAGTAAGACAAGTGGTAAGAAATTTGCTGGAAAATTTAAAGGGTCATGAATGGGACGATTCAAAGAAATATTTGGAAGTCTCTCTTGCAGTTCTATTTAGCACGAAAAGATCAGCAATTTTAAGAAAGCCACTGGGAGTCGAGCCAACATCAGTAAAATTTTAAATCAGCACCAGGCAGTAGGTGAAAAGTTGTCTGGATTTGATGAGAGTGCCCTTTGGCAATTACGATTAAATAAAGATAAAGCATTTGCCAAATCAGTATTATCTGTATCATTTTTCAAGGAAGCCATTACATCAGATATTCTGCCTCCTTCTGTTAAATTGGCTTTATTAGCAGCACCATCTTCCCAGAAATTAGATCAGACTACAGATGACACTAAATTATGGAATGATTCTGAAGCAGAACACATATTTAGGGGGCGGTCTATCTGAAACTGACTATGATGGTTTAGAGAAATCTCTGAGAACACAAGAAAATGTTTCAAGAATTCCCAGATTAACCACTTTGAGAAATAATTTGAAACGGTTCCACTATGGTGTCAGAAACTGCCTCTCAAAATAAAAAGGGCTGGTTTGTTCATGATATTGAAGGCCTGGTTTGGAGAAGTGTCCTCAACATATTGACTGAAAACAAATTGGATTATGACCTTGATGATGAAAATGAGAGACAGATGTTAGAAATAGTTGTAGGTGAGGGTGGCCACACTTT